GTTCAAATCCAAGTCCAATGGAATCTTTTAGCAGCCAAATATTTTTCCTAAACATAATATTCAATTAAACTATAAACACAACTATATACAAACTTCCTAATTACATTTGTTTACAAATAAAGCTCATGGCTTTCTTTGAAATCCGTGTAATGGGCTTCCAACCAACACATCCATATCAAATGACCTTAGTGTGCTAGATTTAAAAGGATCCCTCGGATTTACTTGCCCGAACCTTAAATGCCATAGATTAGCTTTATTTGGTTATTAAGTTCATGACTTTCTATGGAACCCGTGTAGCGACTTTTCAACTCAATCAGTCCCAAAAAATTTAGCTTTAGGCGATTAGGTGTAAAACACCCCTTAGAGATTACTTGTTCGAGTCCCAAAGGTCACAGATTAACTTAATAATATATTTTTTTAATTTTTTTATTATTTTTTTATTTTTTAATATAAATAAGATAACATATAACACTCTTATTAATTTATTTGCTAGGCCTATTTCTTTATATTTTCGTCCTTGACTTTTCTATTGCGGGACATCTCACGGTCTATTACCGTGAGGGACTTCTAGACATTTTTCGGGGGACTAAAGGTCAACATGCAAAGACCCGTAGGTATAGTTGGAAGCTATGTTCCCAAGCACGGTATATAAAAGGGAATGAGTAGAAATGACTTTTTAGAGCGCTAGAAGGCTCGCAACATTGAGATTTTGTATTCTTTTTATGAACTTTTGAATTTGGTATTTTAAGTTCAATTGAGCATTACTTCTCATACGACCGGTCATATGTCCCAAAGAATTAACTCATACCTGTTGTTATGCTCCGATGTTGACAATCTTCTCACTTTTTGTTTTGCACACGTAGCTTCGGGAGGTGTGTTCGTGTGTGATTAACTTGCTTTTAGATTTTTCAATAAAAAGAGCAAGCCAATTTCAAGGCACATGACTCGTTTACCAGCTCAACTGTTTTGAAAAGATTCGGTTGCTTGGGATTGTATCTTTTTTTTTAATTATGCAATGAATGCAATGCAAAAATTTAGATGCAAACAAAATGCAAAGAAAATAATAAAAATTAGAATAGAAAGAAAATCTTTTTGGTTTTTGAAATTTTTTCATGCAGAAAAAAAATGAAAAAGAAAATGAAATGAAAATTAATGCAATATTTACAAAACTACATGCAACGAGATTTATGCATGGATGGATGCCCCTCCCCAAGCTTAAAGTATAGCATCATCCTCGATGCTTGGAGAGAGGCATAACCGACCTATTGAGAGTCAGATGGTGGAGGATGGTAGCTGGGTTGGGAATGGGTCCAAAACAGTCACAAATGCATACCAATTGAATTTTTAAGCAACATATGAACGACTAAAGATATGGAAAGAATTTACCAAATCGTTCTTGGAGCCTTGCAATTATGGTGAGAACCTCCTCTTCATCCTCTCCAAGCTATCCGTGAAGTATTTTTGGAGCCGGAGATTCATTTTCTAGGCATAAAAAATAAGTTTAAAACCATTTGGGACATTAAAAAAAATTGAAATTTACCAAAGACTAAAAAGTTTTAAAAGAAAGGAAACAAATAACCCCGGGTTGCCTCCCGGTTAGTTGCCCTTGTTTTAAGTCGTTGGCTCGACTTGGCCCCTGAATGTGGTTTGTTCTAAGTAGGTGGACCTTTACAACACATTAACCTTCTCGCCACATCCTTCAATTGAAAACTTATCCTTTACCTGACTTTTTTTTAAAGCACCTCCTCACAAAATGCTTGGCATAAACAATTAGTAACACCGTGTCCCCGACAATGGCGCCAATTTGTTGGGCGTGTCAAACCCAACAAATAAAGGGTACAAATGACTCCTTAAACACTACTACTATGCACTAATAATGTAGTACACGGTAAGTAGGATCGATCCACAGAGACACGGGACAAGTGTTTATACAGAATGGGGGAATTTATAAGCAATGATTTAAACTATAGAATAAAGCAATAAGTAAATGATTGATTTAATGAAGTAGATTCATGATTTGTAAGGACTCCAACTCGATGCAAGACAAATTAGCAATGTGATTCCAAGGATGAAATGATATTTGTTCAATTCTATCTAAATTGGTACATGGAAATGCTAACAAGATCTAGCACCTCCCATTCACCACATTGATTAAACAAAATAAGCTCTTTGATTAATCCTAACCTTACCAATCTAATCTAAACAAGCTCATAGAATTAGGTTGAAAGATTGTATTAAACTTTATGTGAATGTTCCCAACAACACTCAATACTCCTCATAAGCTCGAGAGCATAAGAATGTGTGAATAAGATTTACACTAAATTCATTCAATAGAAATCAGTTTAGTGCTTGTTACCTAGTCCAATTTACATAACAATTACGGATTTTGCAATTAGATAACTTGAATGATCTAACCCTAATTCAAATGGCCAATAAGAATCACAATTAGAATCAAACATTCGATTGAAACAAAACAAATTCACTAGATAGAAAATTGAAAGAAAACATCAAGTCATATGATTGAAATCACAACTAGAAGTCAAGACATAAAGTTGGAGAATCTAGGGTTCTAGCCACTCATGACTAGAACAAGATCACAAATCTAGAAAATGAAATTAAAGTTCATACAAAATGAAATCAAATGTTCCTAAGTGTTAATCAACTTCAAAATCCTCAAGAAATTCACCTTCTCCACTCCAAAAGTCGACCCCCTCCTTTAAGAATGGTGTAAAACTGCTTTAAAACCCACGTTTACGTTTACACGGCCCGCGTAAATTAACACTGTCATTTACACAGCCCGTGTAAACGCAAAAATATATTGCGCACAAATCTACATTTACATGGCCAACGTAAACACAAGGCTTGCATTTACACGGCCGTGTAAATCTCTGTAAAGCCAAAATCTTCATTTCTTTGATATCTTGCTCCTCGATGCTCCGCAAGTCATGAAATTTTGTCCGCAACTTTTACTTTACCTCCTCCAACAATATCCTACCTCCAAAAGTCCCTGAAATATCACAAAAGTATTTGAATGAAATTGCCTCATGAAAAATCCCGAAAAACATGCAAAATGCGTGAGTTTAAGCCTGTATGCAATGTACTTTTATGAAATAAAGCTACAAAATGGGTACATGAAATGGACCTAACACGTCCACACCCTAAATCCTCGATTTCTGATGTACAACACTTGTCCAAATGATAGATCCAAGCCCCTAAGCTTGATCTAGCACGTAAAGTTACAAACTTTATGTGCATGCATGGGACTTTTGAGCCAAAAGGCTCTAAAATGGCTCTTTTGTTACATGGGGCCTTCCTTGGGTGCAAAAGCAACCCAAATATGCATTGTGACTCTTCCCAAGTGCTAGATCCGAAGTATTGACCCCCAACCATGTTTGCAAATCATGGTTGGTCACCTCATATGGCTTAAAAGCCCTAAATCTTCCCCAAAAAGGGATCTAACAAACAAGCAAGCAAGGTACAGACTTTATACCTTTCAAAGACTGCAAATGATGAACCAAACTAGAATCCTTCAGTCTCCTATTGATCCTTCTATGCTCTTCCTTCTTCCTTGAGGTCAAAACCCACAAAAATCATTCAAAGCCTTAGTTCTTGCACCAAAACACTTAGGGTTTGCTATGGAGAGTCTTTGGGAGCAATAGGGATGAGTGGTGGATGAAAGAGATGATTAAATAGGGTGCAAACCCTCAAATTAGGGTTTTGTCCAGTCAGAACCTACTCGTCGAGTCTGGCCGCCGACTCGATGAGTCCATCACTTAAGTCCCGTGTCCAAACCCACTTTTACTCGACGAGTTGGGCCTTCAACTCGCCGAGTCCCAGGCCAAAAATGCAAAATACAACAAAAATAAATTACATACCAGGAATCTAGTGCTACATTATTAGTAAGGTTGTACGCCCCCACAACAACCATTGGGTGCTCTAAATAGAAAAGAAAAGAAAAAAAAAACAAAGAAATGACTTATACTAAAAGTAGGGTCTTTAATATTTTGTTAAAAATCACATTGTTAGGGAAGAATGTTATACTAATGGAAATGATATAATTATTGAGTTATAAATTTTGTAGAAAATGTTGCCAGATAAAGTAAATGAAGTTGTGAGTAGAAAATGTTCCTGGATAAAGTAAATGAAGTTGTGAGTCTTTGGACAAATATCCAAATAATAGAGTTTGCAAAAACAGTGACATGTATATGATTCCTATTATAATGGTTGCATATATAAAATTTTGTCGATGATACCGGTTACGGTTGTTTCCGGGAAAAAAAGTTTGTCAAAGTTGAAGCTTTTAAAATCATATCTTTGAAGTATCCTGACTCAAGAAAGAATGAATGAGTTATCAATTTAAAGCAATTTTAAGTCCATTTTTACAAAATCTTGACTATTGTAAATGAAAGATGTATTTGTTTTAAGAAAATGCATGAAGCTATTGTTGTGATTTTGGTGGATTTTGGTTTGTATTACTATTGATTTTGTTTAACCGTAAAATTTATTGTATTTTTTCCTCTATGAAAGTTTATATACAGTACAAACATAAAGGCATAAAAATCTTATCTTATCAAGGACATTCCGGTCCTGATATTATGAGATTAGACGAATGTTATAATTTTATTGTTTATATTTTTAGAATTACCGTGCCTTTTATTATTAAATTGTACAGGGCTTCCAAATTCTTGAGGCCGGCCGTGGATGTTATATGAAGAGTGGTGGGCGATAGTGATGATAAATCGGTTTTAAAGTGGGTAAAAGTGTTTTTGAATAATTTAATTAGTTTGTTAGTCATCTCTACATTAAAACTGATTATTTTTTTAAATAATGATAACTTACCTTTTGATAACCATTATTTTTTAATTGAGAATGTTTCTTAAACAATTTAAATAGTTTGTCGTTAACCTTTAATACGACAACTAATACCAAAAGATCCAAACAACAATATAATTTTGTTACTAATAAAAACACATGTCCATCGAAATATATCTATATAATCAGGTATCTTATATTTATCAAATCAAATCTAAATAACATTATGAAACAATTTTGATTAAAACCGAAATATAATGACGTTCTTTTTGAGTCTTTGATCTCTATATTAATCTATATATTCCGAGGGCTTGGATACACAACTTGTATCATGTTTATGTTTCACATTACCTACAGGAAATACATATAAAAAAGGGAGAATTACACACAATTTAATAAAAAAAAAAAATTAAAATGCATTTCCATAAGAAGAGAGATTATTATTAGCAATAACAAAAGCTATTAGTTTCAACCAACATTACTAACAAATAAAGAGGTCGTATTTGAAAAACAACGTAAATTTGAAACGTTGAGTATTGCGACCAAAATATCCATTGCCTTTTTTTTGACAGCTCGATGGCTTATATAAAATCACATTGCCGTCTAGTTTAAAAAATTCCATATTTTAGAGTTGAGACATCTTAATGAATTATAAATAAATTTTGAAAAATGAATCCATGTCAATATTAGAGGCTGTTCGGCAAAGAGTTTTTGAATTTTTGTCAAAACTCTTTTAGCTTTTATTTAAAAATGTGAATTAAAAAAAATTGTTTGGCAATATAAACTTTTAATTTTTATTTTAAATAAAAACAACTTATAATCCAAAAGCTATTTGTGAGCTTTTATCTTTTTTGGACTTTTAGTTTTTTCTCTTATATAAACTTTAAAAGCTAACTAAACTGCTTTCCCAATATTTATGTACAAATTAACTTACGTCTTCAAACCAATTAGTTTTGTCAAATACATATAAATCGACAAATCACCGGTTTAAATTTTGCTTTGGGCTTTATGTTGCATGTTGAGATTTCGGCTTATTACTTAAAGCAAAGTAAATTTGAGTCATATATTGTCTTGAAAATTCATAAGGTTATTTTGGATAAACCAAGTTAAATCGAGTAATGTATTGTCGTCCAAAATATATTTAAATGTTTATAATTTTGTAAATTGTTTTAGAACTTAATATAACTTTTGTTGCTATAAAATACATTAAAAAATTGTTGCCGGCATTCCCAACTCTCCCCGACACATTGTGACAGTGTGACTATGTTTGACAAGTGATATGTTACTTATAAGATAGTTTATTAAAAAAAAATTATATTATCGATAAATCAAAAAATAGGTTATAAACTACTTTTTAAAATCAACTAAAGTCTAAAACTTTTATCTATTTTAAATTGTATTAAAAATTATTATTTTGAGTCATTACCCAGTTCACCCGACCTATCGATTTTAGCAAGTGAAGTTGTGATTTAAAAGGATGTCGGAGGTATTTACATAATTTGTAGCAAGGTTGCTTAAATGCTGGATCATCTTGTAGCGTAGGAGGATTCTGCCCAAATATCATATCGCAACTCATATCCTCATAATCTGCAATCGTATTAATTAATTAACTAACTGCTTCAACATTTTACTTAATTAAATTGGCTATAACAAATTAAACAATTATATGAATGTATATGTGTGACTCATGTACTTACTCGGAACCATGTTGAATGGGACGCCGAAGGAACTCTTAATGAACTCTTGTGATGGTATCTTGCAGAGATTGGTGCACATTCCTGCGCAATTAGTCGATTCAAGAAACCTGAATTAAAAACAATGCTTAATCAATCACTTGCTTATTCATAAACAAACTTACATGTACATTTATTATTCCTTTTATTATTAATAAAAAAGTTACCATTTTATGCATATGTAATTGGTACTAAAATATATAACATGGCTGTACTACGAAATTAAGTAGCACCTGCATTTCTTTACATGAACGACATTTCTCTCGATTCTCCCTTCAAACTCAGATTCTATTACCTTATGTTAGAAAACACAAATTAGTAAAAATTAATTCAGATTAAATGTGAAAATGTCTATAAAGTAGATAATTAAGTAGCAAAGAAGAATGTCGAGACTTGAGATTGACCTCACATGAACCAACAAGCCAAGGGAAGAAGATGGTTGTGAAGGTGGCGAAATACTCTCTTGAGAACTTTGAAGGTGGCAACATTGTTTTGATCTGCTTAATTCAACAAGAAGAGTTACATTCATATATCTATACATATAAGTAAATAATATTGGACCTATTGGTTACATTTTTTTTTTTTTTTTAATTTTAAAAACTTATGACATAGTCTTGTAATTTCTGTTTATGATTCATTAATATTCAAAATTATTTTTAGATGTTTGAATTAAAGTTCATTTTTTTGTCATGTTACGATCAACATAGAGCATTTAAACTTTAATTATAATTGTTTCTATATTATATAGATGGCAAAATAATTATTTTGGAAGTAGTGTCAAAGCGTTACAAAGATATTTGGTTAATAATTAGGCATTCCAACTGAATATACATGCCAAATCATATGTTGTGTATTTATTTTAAAGCATATACAAACAATGGATAGTATGAAATAATTAAAAAAAAAAAACTAAGATAAATTAACTATTGGAATGGAAAATTGCATAAAAACAACGACGACTTGCCAGGAATGAGATAGGTCGAGGAATAGCACTCTGAAGAGCCTTCACAACAAGCTGTCGTTGTTGGATCGGGTCAAAGTTTCTGAAAACCGCTCCGGCAGCTATCACCAAGCTCTCATACCCGCTCTTCTCGTTTTTCATCCCTTTGTTTTTAACAAATGAAAAAAACTTTTAACACCACCCACTATAAAACCTAATCCATCACCTCTCGTTTTATAACACAAAAGGTGACGGGTTACCTTACCTATATAGATATAATTGGATTATTATATATCATCAAAAATATTAATGTTAACTTCAAATCTATGGATGTCAAATATTTCATTTAAAAGTGTCTTGGTTAATTAATAGAATACATGAAATAATATATATTATCTCTAAATAAAATGGAAGAGCAGTGAAACGAACCAGTGGTGTCTTGCACTGCTTTGGAGAGATAATCAATGGCGACCTGATCGAACCAGGTGTCTTTATAGACTGTCTTGCTTGTGGTGGTATCTATGTTTATGTTATAACTGCTTGTAGCCTCGGTTTTAAGGTTGTTAGTAGAAGTGGATGGTGTTAGTACAGATACAACCGCAAAACGTTTATGTTTGGGTTGAAAACATCGAGTCATTGGTTGGTTGACCGGCAGGAATCCGATCATCGGTGAAGTTGGAAAAATGATGGTTTCCATAGTTTATAGTGAGAGAAAGACAGTAATTAAGGTTAGAGTAGTAGATATATATATGTGTGTATGTATAATGCGTCCAAAAAAGAGAACAAGAGAATTTTCACAATTCACTTTGTTTAGATGCCTCGTTACCGCCTATTCCCCTCCCCCAACTTGTTTATTCGTTTATTGTTATCTACATATTTTTTATTCATGCCAAATGCATATGGGTTTATATAAAAATCATGTGAACTTTTGCTTATGTGATCCATATGGGTTATATCAGAGATTCCTTTTTTATTAAAAAATTATAAAAGGCGGTTTAATTTGAATATTAGTAGATTATCGACTGTCCTTTATCTATAGTTTTCTGATTCCAAATATGGACATCTTAATTTAGTACACAATTCTTTGTAAATAAAATACATATTTTATTAAGGAATTATATTATATTTTAAAACATTTTACAAATCACTTCGATTTAACCACTAACCTAGGTTTTGCATGCCACAACTAACTTACAAGTTAATTTATTTTTTGAAGCTTTTCATGCTGTTATGTTTGATTAATCAATAAATAGCTTATAAACTGATTTACAATATAAATTTTCAAAAAACTAGGCATGATTGCTTTTCAACTAATTTAAAAACTTTTTAATTTTTTCCGTATATACCATTTATTATTTTAATAAACATTTTTCTATGTCTTTATATGTTATTTTATACTTTCTAGCTAGCTTATAGTTATTTTTTATTGAATTATCATTTTTATCGGTTATCAACTAATTTTTCAATTAGTATGTTAAACATATCATTATCAACAATTACTAAATTGGTGTTTCTAAAATGATAGATTTAAGTTTGAAATCGTTGGATGTTTTTCATAAACCTGTTTTGGTAGAATGTGACGGTGTCATTTTACAAAGAGAAGCAACAACCATAAGAAGTTAAAAACATTGATAAAGATGTCGAATTTGTGTTGGTTGATTGTCTTTATTTCTAATTTCAAACAAGTTGAACTTTAAACACAAGTTCCCACATGTTTAATTAGTATATTTAATCTTCATTGTCTTTTTCTTTATTCAAAAAATTGTATTTTCTTTTGATTCTCTGCTCCATCAACGTGACACAAGCATTCGAACAAGTAACCTTTTAAATACAATATTAATTTCATATCTTTAAACATTAGTTATTGTCGCATTAGTTCTTCAATTATGGAGTTGATAAATCCATAATTTTATTTTTATTGTTAGCTTAATAAAATATGAAAATTGACACCATAGCACAATCAAATATGGGGTCTTTACGGATTGATCATTTAAGTTGTTTTTTTTTGCTTAATAGATCCCTAAAGTATCAATTTACCTCTTAAATAAAGGAACCGACCAATTTAATTATGATTTTGCCGATAACACCTAGTCCATGTGGTTTTTTCTATTTTTTTTGAAATTAAAAATTAAAACTTTATCTACTTGGTTTTCTTTTTCATTTCTCCTTAATAAAATTGATCCTTAAACTCAAACCACTCCACCTTTCTTCATTCACATCTCCATCTTCAATCATCGGGCAACCTCCACAGATCATCGCTTCGTCGACCTTGTTGGTAGTGGAATATCGCCACCCCTTTCCCTCTATTTTTTTTAATAGCTAAAGACTCATATATTCACAATTCTAGCAAATTGCTAGAATGAAACAGATCCAATTACAAGGATTCAGAATCCACGTGTTCCAAAGTACATTGGACTTGGAAGCTTGGAATTTTCAAGAAAACGATTGCAAAATAAAACTATCAAACAATGTATTTTTCCTAATTTGAATCCCATCTAACACCAAATAATTTCTGAATCTCCATATCACCCAACATTTAGTTACTATTGTCACTTGTAACCGCAACTTTTTATTTTGAGAAATTGGTTGGTTATCCACCCAAGAAAATCATTCTTTGATCAATAATGAACCTGAGAATGTCATCCTACACCAACGAGCAACAAGACTAATGAGCAACAAGAGATAAAAGAGTCGATGCCACCTCACATTGAATGAAAATGTCTCCGTTGATTCACCTCTCAAATCACCACATGGGCACAATATTGATACTAACTTTATATCTTTTTTTGAAAGATTAGATCTTGTAGGTAATCTATCTAAAATCAACCTTCAAATAAAAATATTAACTTTTCTTGGAAGTGAGTTATACTAGGTAGTAACTTGGTCGCCACCTACTAGAGAGATACCATCAATAAACGTTCTTGTAGCCTTAACCAAAAAGACCCCCTTCGGATCTAATGACCACCAAAACATATCATATACATCCATGAACTACGCCTTGTAATTCCTCCATCAACCAAGAAAACTTTATCTCAACTCTACCTTTGATCTGTCTTTGCGAATCCTAAACCCAACTTCCATTGTTGTATATATCACAGACCAAGAAAAGAGAATCGTTTTCAAGTTGGAATAATCTATTGACTTTAACATGCAATGGTTGATCCCACAGCCAGACATCAGACCAAAACTTTATTATATTCCCTCTACCATGTTTTTTTGTAGAGTTTCCAACGGGATAATACTATTAGCATCCATTTTTTGAATTGAAGATACAATATTGGCCCAAACTCTTGACATTCTTACTCCTCTACCAGACCTAATGAACCCATCATCTTCTCCATGGATTGATTTCAGAAGTCTAGCCCAAAATAAGTCACCATTAACCAATGCTACCATTAAATAAACTGAAAATAAAACATATAGATAGTTTGAAAATCTTAGACATCTTTAAAATTTTCACACAAACTTTTCGTAGAAAAAGTTATTTGAAAATAGTAATTTATTCGACATTACGAAAAGAAAAAGAAAATTTGAAATTAATTTATGTCTGAAAATAGATGTCACACCCTCATCCTGGTGACAGAAACACTGAGCGGCACGACATTCCGAAATGATGGCTTATGGAAAAGGATTTCGTGTTGTGTTTTGCTTTAATCAGCATCTTCATTGATAGTTTAAAAGTCTTTCATACTCTTTGGCTGGATAGTCTTTTATTTCTGTTGGTTGACATAGGAATACATGTGATTTTGAGAGGGTTAACATAATGTTGATGAGTTCACAGGTTTGGTAAACGTGAAAATACTTTTTCAAAGTTCTTAAGTTAGAACTAGTTGTATTCTCAACCTAAATCACTTTAATTCATGGTTAGTGTTTTGATAGTATTCTCCTAATATTCCTTTTACCGTATGGTAGATACTACTTCTCAAGGTGTTCCTCAAGAATTATGGATTTATTTAGTTTAGTGAGTGTATTCGAACTCGTTTCCTCGAGTTTGTGTGAGCTATCACTACATATGGTATTAGTAGTTTATGATAGTTTAGTTTTAGTTTAACAAAGTTATGATGAGTTTCTATAATTGAGTTATAAATTTTTGATCCCGAAAACCACGATGCTTCATCGGATGCAACTATGTGTTTAGAAAGTTATGTATGCTTTGACTTGTCATCGGGTTGTAGCTAGCAACCACATATGAGAGTGTCAATCTCGTATAGATATATCTCCCGCTCACTTAAGATTTAATGATTATAGGACGGGAGCTAGCTAAAAATTTATCAGCATGTTCCTGAATCGTGTCTCATCTAACTCTTGTCATAGGGGGATCCCCTGGTCAGTCGTGTTCTTATTTACATTATATTTATATGGGTTTACTTATTATATATATATATATATATATATATATATATATATATATATATATAATGTGTGTGTGGGGGTGTGTGTATTGCGTAGCCGAGAATTTGGGCAAAGTAACATGAGGTACTAAGCTTATCCAAGGGGTGACTATAATAACGATTTTCAGCGTTTCCTGGCAACTGACCAATGTGACAAGTAGGTATGATTCTATCTATCAATATGGTTTGGTATCACAACTATGCATAATTGATATGTGCATAATTAGTTAATTATTTAACATATATTCTTAGTTATTTTTGGTTAATTATGAGAATAATGTGGACAAAAGGTACTTAAAATGCTTTGAATTGTGTTTTCAGTCCAAAAGATATGCTTGGAGGCAAAAAGGAGAAAAGGGAAAGCAAGTGAATATTAAAGAGTGAAAGAAGGATCTACTCGGCGAGTAGATCGACCCTACTCGGCGAGTACACGACGATATGCCAGAAGATAAATACGACTGCTAATTCAAGACGGATAAGTATGGACCTACTCGGCGAGTTGATTCTGCTACTCGCCGAGTACCCTCTGTTTTGGGATATCTTTAAAAGACGAATCTTTATCCCATGGGACATTATTCCTGGCGATTTTTGAAGGATTAGCTGCGACTAAAAGGTTCAGAAGGCGCTAAGGAACCCTAAGCTTCAAGAGTTGGAAGAATTCAAGCAATTAGGTTAATTCTACCACTTAGACTTAGGAATTAAACATGTTTGCTTTCATAAACTTTGTTTTTGTGTTTGTTTCTACTGCAACTATGAGCTAAACTCGTTTTTGTTTATGTTTGGGGAATACCAAAGAACTCCTATGGTTTAATTATTAATTCTTGCTTAATTGTCTATTGGTGATTTATTAAATCAAGTTTGTTAAAGAACCTTATGTATTAATCACTACTATTTTCTGTTAATTGGAAGGCAATTAGGTTGCATGAACATCACTTAATTGTTAACCTCATATGTCTATGTGAATGCTAAAACGTATGCTTAGAAGTAATGAGTATGAAACTAAGATTAATAAGAAAATAGGAAGATTAATGTGTGAGCTTGTTTGAGAAACCATCAACAAGAGGTTAATTGAATTAATAACTTAATTAACCATTACAAATCTTATTTAATCCAAATAATTAATCTAGGGAATTAATTAGTTTAAACACTTGATCAACGCTTAAATTAGTTAATTGTCTAAGGGTTAGGAGTAATGAATATGAACCTAACTATTATCATTGGTAACCAATAGCAATTAATCCACCTTAACTTAAATAACCATAGGAGTGAATTGGTTGAACCTAAATAGAAACATCTTTATCAAATTTGGTGAATAGTT